CAGTACAAAATCACTGCAAAAATATTGATTGTTCCTACCAATCGCTTATATACAGGGGTTAATGTTTTGTGAAGCGCTAAATTACACAGCTAATGCTTGGACAAACATTTCTTTATACAGGGTGCGCGTATAATGAACTTGATCTTTTTGCATTTGAAATATCAAATGTACCTAAATAACATTTTATTTGTGAATCAAAAACAGATTCATTGTGTTTGTGTGGTTCAAAGTAATGCATATTTTGTGGACATAATAAAAGGGTAACTATAATACACAATAAAATGTACAGACAGACTAATTATAGTGTTTTAAATGCAAATTTTAATTCGAAGTGAATTTATTTACTCCTTTGTTTTTATAATAACTATCGTGAGACATACTAAAGTAACTAAGAATCACAGGTTACTCACGTGAATATACTGAGAAAAGCTCTACTAGTTTCGAACCACAGAGGGGCTCTTCCTCATGAGCAGCGTGACCGATAGTAGAGCTTGTCTCAGTATATTTACGTGAGTAACTCGCGATTTTTAGTTAATATATTTGTATAATTTCTTTGATTAATTTCTAAAACTCCTAAACATATTTGAAGGTTAATATAATTAATCACTGAAGACATCTCTGTCCACCATGTAGAAAACTCCAAGGTGGTAAAATAATTTAAAGCAGTCGAGTACAATTAATAGCGTGTAATCTGAACAATGACAAAAAACAGATTGATGAGAGGTTACAGAATACATTAATATTAACTACAAATACGCCTAACGTGCGCTTGTTCGCGTCATTAGCCAGTCGAGTGTAATTGCCTTTATAAAGCAGTAGGCGCTTCGACATGCCCCCGGGCGTTAAAAGCCTTCCTTTCAACCAGCTACTGATTATCATCGATCGGCAGCGGACAAATTTTACTAAAAGATCTTCTGACCACTCCAATCGAGGTTTTGATCTCCGCTATGCGAGCAACTTGGTCGGCACCTGGGTACAGCCGAATAATTCTGCCCAGCTTCCACTTGAGGGGAGGTAAGTGATCTTCCTTCAACAAAACGAGGGAGTCGATCTGCAAAGGGTGGTTGGAAATACATCTCTAATACATCTCTGCTTACCCTTAGAAACAAAGTAAAACAACCGTTCATAAACAGTATCATAACGATAGGGTTGCGACGTCTGAGTTAGATAAATTAGTTGTCGATTATCAACTTGACATAGTTCTTATTCAAGAACAATATCAAAATACCCACTTACGGCACAGGGTAGTGCAGCTGGATGGCAGGTCGCGGGCTGGAATTTATGTCACGAGATCACCTAATTTCACAGTAACATCCATAGCTAATTTAATGACGTCACACTGTGCCGTCGCGGAGATTGCTTCGGGAAATTGTAAACTTTACGTTGTGAGCTGTTACTTTCAATATTCTGATTCAGTTACTCCTCATATTCACCACCTCCGTCACGTCTTGCAATCACTTGCGGGCTCCAAAATTATCATTGGTGCCGACGTTAACGCGTCTTCATCCTTGTGGTATGGCAAGGTTAGGGCTACTGACATGGAACGGCGCTGTGCTGTTGAGGAATTCATTGCTGAAATGAATCTCTCCATTCATAACACCCCTGATGCACCACCTACTTTTTGCAGCCAAATGGGCGAATCTTGTATTGACGTCACACTTTCTAGTGCGGACGTTAGCTTGGATAGGTGGCGTGTCCTACCAGATGCGTCGTGTAGTGATCATCGCCTGATCGTGTACGAATTTGTTTCAACATTACCCCAGGGTCCAACATATTGCAATGATAGCTTTAGGTACAAGACTAAGGGTGCGGATTGGAACTTTTTTAGTTCATTATTTGCATCCCAAGCCAGAGACTTCACTCGCAGAGATCTCTCGGCCGAGGAGGGCGCTGAAATCATGTCAGATGCCTTTACTTACTGTGCCGACGTTGCTTTTGGTCGCGGGTCCGTGACTAGTACGCGTAGATGCGACTGGTGGAATAACTATCTAGTCGAACAACGTAAATGCTTTCGTAAAGCGCGCAAACAGTTAAATAGACTAAAGAAACGTCAGGTAACCGGTACCGTTTTTGATGAAGCGCTGATTGCGTTTAGAGTTGCCAGGTCACGTTATAGGGCTTCGGTGGAGAAAGCCAAGGGTGATTTGCTACGGAGGGTTGTACAGAAATTAGATAAGGAGGGCCCGTGGTCGCCTCTATACCATGAGTTCAAAGCCAATAGATCCGTCGATCTGGCATTCGTACAGAACATAAAAGTCAACAATGTTCACACCACTGGTATTGAGGAGACAACGGAAGTTCTACTCGACGAACTTGTCCCTGACGATGTGCTCGAGACAGACAATGATTACCATCAACAGATTAGGTCGTGGGCAGCTATACCGCCGGAGTCACCAGTGTCTGATCTACCGTCCATCAACGAGCTCGTAACTATTGTTAAAACTTTGCCTTTAAATAAATCATCTGGTGAAGACAAAGTCTCAAATAAAATGATAATAGAAGCATGTAAATCCGCGGCTGATGCGATCCTAACTGTGTTCAACCGTTGTATCGCGGAAGGCGTATTTCCTCGTGTATGGCGACGTGGATTCATTCGCATAATCCCCAAGAATGGAAATAAACCCCCCGATGACCCTAAGTCATACCGGCCTATCACGCTTTTGCCATCTTTAGGGAAACTACTTGAGCGACTTATCGTTCCTCGTTTACTGCCAGGTGGACCAAAATTCCACAACAATCAATTTGGTTTCACTGTAGGAAAGTCTACTGTCGACGCGGCTCTTTCTGTCCGATCCATGGTAAATTCGTCTGAACACAAGTATATAGTAGGCATTTTTCTGGACATTTCCGGTGCCTTTGATAACGCATGGTGGCCAATGTTACTCTTAAAACTGAAAGGTCGTGGCTGTTTTAGTAACATATATAAATTAATATACACGTATTTCCTTCACGGTTCCGTTAAACTGAAGCTTGGTCATTGTTCTCGGTCGAAGTCTTTATCAATGGGATGTCCTCAGGGCTCGGTTATCGGTCCGTATTTATGGAATTTAGGATTTGATGATTTGCTCGCGATTCCCCTTCCTTGTGGCTGTACTTTGACTGGATATGCGGATGATGGCCTTTTGCTAGTACAGTCAAATACCCGCGCCGGACTGGAGAATTTGGCTAAAGACTGTCTCAGTAGGATCTCGCGATGGGGCGAACGAAATCGCTTAACTTTTGCACCCCATAAAACTTACCAGCTATTGCTTAAAGGAAATCTAAAGTCGTGGCCGTCTATTAAATTTAACAACGTTTCCGTAAAACGAAAGGAGTCGGTTTGCTATCTCGGTCTAGTTTTGGAAAAAAACTTTTCTTTCATTGAGCATATTAAGGCTATTAGTGAGAAAGCCAAAAAAAACTTCTATGCGCTGACGCGAATTTCAAAAGCCACCTGGGGTCTCTCTTTTCTTACGCTCAGGATCATATACGGAGCAACCTACCTGGGATGCGTGTGCTACGGGGCACCTGTCTGGGCTGATAGGGCCACAATAGGCGCGGTACGGCGAAAACTTCTTCAAGGCCAGCGTCTAGCCTTGATTTTCCTGTGTAAGGCTTATAGGACGGTTAGCACTGAAGCCCTACCTGTGCTCGCGGGCGTACTTCCGGTAGATCTTGAGGTGCAGCGACGTGCTGCTATGTACTACAGTGCGAGACCTAATTTGTCAGCTAGCTTTCTGGCAGAACGTGATAGAAATAAAATTGCAAGATTGTTTAAGCCAATAACGGACGTTTGGGATGAGCTTATAACTGAATGGCAGGGTAGATGGGCATCTTCTATTAAGGGCCGCCACCTGTATCAGTTCTTTCCATCCGTGCATGAGCGGCTGGAGAGGACATGGTTGGAGGTGGATCACTGTGTTGCCCAATTTCTTACTGGCCACGGCAACTTTAAAGGCAAATTGTTCTCATTTAAACTTATTGATTCACCATGGTGCCAATGTTCGACAGAGGAGTTGCGATACGAGCAGTCGGCCCATCACATACTCTGGGAGTGTGATCTCTGGCAATATGAACGTAACACTATGTTAAACAATTTAATTGTTTCGTCTGGTGTAGCTTATTATACGGACCTTGTGGAATCTAGAACGAATTTCCGTGCGTTTAGGCGTTTTTGCCATACCTATTATTGGAAGCAAGTATAACAGCTCACACATAGGACCCACTTAGTTTTTAGTCAAATTTCCGTGGTGCTTGGCGACTGGGCTTCACCCAGTTGTACAGTCTCTTCTTTGTGCCTTTAGGCTTAATTCATTCTGTCTCCTGCAGTAATTCACCGAGGGAAGTGAAAACCATAGTTTTTCTTCTTCTCCTCTTATAATATCTTCTGATTCACTTCGTTGCGGGAACCAAGACAGTTACTCATGTCCCTGGGACGCGCCGGACTTCAGTGTTCCGGTGTTTTCATGGTTGTATCTACTGTGGATCCTGGCTTACAGGAGTTGCAGCGGTTTTGGGAGGTTGTGGCGGGCTTGTCCCTAAAAAAAATAAAAAAATAAAACAGTATCATCCAGAAACAGTAAAGTTACTTACAAACACAACTTAACTCATGTTTTAAATCACTTCCAATAAAACAACACGCTGTATATTAACCCGTTTCAACTGGAAATCCGATAGCTTTTGTTTATTTTGTATCCACTGTTAACCGGTGTACTTTGATTATTATATGACTAGTTGGCGACAGCGGCGTCACTCGCATGAAAATAAAAAAACAAATTCATGATCATCATAGCAGCCACAAGACGTCGACCATGGTATACGGAGGGAGGGGAACTGGAGAGCCGTCTTCTTCTTCTGTGAAGCAGTCATGCTAGCTTAGGAGGAGCCGGGGTGCGTGAGGGAACGAACCTCCTCATGCCCCAGCCGTCGCGTGAGACATTCCGGGCTTCGGGGATCGCGAGACGATCTCCGGCCACCGTAAGCACGGGCCTGCACGGTGAGTACGGGTGACTCGCCTCCTGACCAGCACCAGGCCCGATGGTACGGCGCGTCGCATTCCGCGCGCGCCTCAATGAGCTATCAGACCACCACAGATGGGGCCCAACAGGGCTGATGACGATATGGAGCCGCGGAAAACTGAACGGGTTGCCAGGGCTCTGGCTCGAAGTGCAGAAGTAGAAGACATAACATAAAATTACATCACGCCTTTTATCCCCGAAGGGGTAGGCAGAGGTGCATAATATTATGTCACCGTACAATGTACGGCCCTTAATGCCACTGTGCAATGTAGCACCTACTTTTCACTATTTATGTTATGAGTCCCATTTACTAGGGGGTAAGCCTATTGCCATATATACCGGGCACTCCAGACTTCGTGCTATTAATAATATTTTTATTTAAATCCCTACTGGATTTACTTTGTCCGATCCGGGAATGGAACTCGAAATCCCTTGCCAGGCGGTGGCATTTGCTACCAATCGGCCAGCAAGGCAATCTAACCTCCGCTTTTTTGAGGTCGGTTAAATATTGTTCCAGTCGTTTTACAGCTTATTCGATTCAAACAGACAAACAATCAAATCTTATTTTTTATAGCATTAGTATAGATGTGATGAATATTTGTGTAATTTCAATATTTTATTGAAATTTTCGTTGTTGTGTGTTGTTTGTTGAACAACGTGTTATTGGATATATTTTTGATTGGGTATTGAATATTTAATTCTGGAGGAGGCCTTCACCCGAGGAGAGGTCCATACCCAATAACTAAAATATCCCTTACCTAACACCTAGGTATAAGCAAAACTAGTAACTTGTAAAATACTAACCAAGAGAATACCAACACTTTTTTTTATTTTTTTTTAAACGTTGCCCCACACTAGGATTTTCTCCGGTGTCGTGGGTGCGTTTACAAACATACAAGTTCACATACACAATGACACCCAGACCCGAAACAACAATTTGTGGATCACACAAAGTGTTGTTCCGTGCGGGAATCAAACCCGCGACACGTTGCACGGCAGCCGGTTGCCCAGCCACCGCACCAACCGTGCAGTCTCAACATTTGAATTGTAATTTAAGGTTAAGGAAATAAAGGCTTTTTATTTTTGATTTTATTTCTTGTATACTTAATTCAGGCCGCGTGGCGTCGACGCGACCGCGCACGTAGCTCATGAAGAAGAGTCTCCCGTGACTCGAAACTAGTAGAGCTATTAGCAGTATACCTATTTACGTAAGTACCTCGTGATTGTTACTTACCCAGTATGTCTCACGACATTTATCATGATTTTAATATTGTTGTAATGGGTGCTGAAATTTATGTCGCAGCCAACTAGTATGACCAGGCAATCAATTATCTGGTTAGCCTATTTAATTGACCGCGGAGAACCTAACAGGTTACCGGGAGAGCCACGGTGCATGCATCAGCCCTGTTAGGCCCCACTTGTGGTGGTCTGATGGCTCCTTGAGGCGCGCGTGGAACGCGATGCTCCATATGCTCGAGCCTGGATCTGGTCGGGCGTCGGGCGACGAGTTACCCGTGATCGCCGTCTGTAGGCCCGTGATCACCCCAAAACTTGGCGGTTGATTATTGCAAGA